TATATAAACATAAACAAACATATAATATAGTAATATAATCAAAGACAATTGAACATATATAAACATCAAAGGAATTTAAATGAATAGACATAAATGAACGTAAATGAACAACATTAACGAACATAATTGAATGAACAATACTATTGTTCATGTTCATTCACTTAACCATGCGAATGATAATTGGTGCTCATGTTAGTTCATTTGTTAAATAAACGAAGGTAAGCGAACTTCCCATCGAACAGTTCGTTGAACGTTCAGTTCTTTTGCATCCCTACACACGAGTAGTCATCTATCTCCTTCTGGTGATTCCAAGTTGCCCAATATTGGTCTTGATGCCCATCACATGCTCTTATTGCTCTTGTAAGGACATGTAGGTCTGATGATTATAATTTCTTGTTGAGAAAATTGGGATATAGAAATGAGTGGTCAATAGCGATTTAGTGCTTTGAGTTCGCAGAGAATCGTGAAAGAGATGAACGGAAAAAGGTAAGTTATCTAGTTTAGTGTCAGTGTTCTTTGTAGATTAGGGAAAATCAATTTAGCGAAAAAGGTTTCCAAAACAGCTGTTAAACAAGGGTACGGAAGTGGAGAAGTTATTATCGCCGGAGCCCCTGATGAACACTTGATCTCTCTTTTTTTTTTTTTAGATTTAGTATATGTTTTGATTTCTGGAGGCTTTTTTTTGGATATGGTTCATGAGTTGAATAGTTTTATCAAAAATACACATAACATATATTCCAGATAATAAGCATTCAGTACAAATATAAGTTTTCTATTAATATTTAATACTTTTATATAAATGTGCATCATGAAAGTAACTACGCACTCACTATACAAGATAAATGTAACGCCCGTAGATCCGGGCTAGTCAATTTAGAGATAATAGGGGTCGAAAACGACTTTTTGACAAAAGATTATTTAGAATAAATAATCTTAACCAGGTTGTAGAATACGTCTCAAGGGTTCCGTACATATAAAGAACGTTGAAATCCGAGTTATAACGAAGAAGTTATGGTCCGTCGAATTTTACGGCAAAACCGGCACGACATCGGGAGACGTAAATAGTGAATTTACGATGGATAACTTTTTAGCCTTAGAAATCTAAACAAAATTTGTATTATACGTTAAACCGAGAACATACAAAAAACGAACGCCTAAATCTGACTTCGTATGAGGAAGTTATGAATTTTCTAAGATTTGGCTTAGCAGTGCACAACCCGAAACTCGAATTTTAGATCGAGCGGTTTTTGGCCTACGCGGCCTAAATGAGAATTGAAGATCTCATTAATAGGAACTCAACGGTAAAAAGACAGACGAAAACAGAGTCCGTATATAGAAGTTATGAATTTTACGCGGACATTTAACAGTATAATCTCCTCGTACTGTTAAATTTAAGATCGGTCGAGAATTAGCCGACAGAGTCAAAATGAAAGTTGTAGATCTTATTTTTACCTACGCGTGGATATAAAGAACGTCAAAAACAGAGCTCGTATGTGAAAGTTACGGATTTTAGAAGTCGGAAGTGTGCTGTGCGAAAATGGGTGATGTGGCATAATCTTGGTCATTGCTTTCGCCCCAAGTCTTGCCACTAGATGGTGACATGTGGCACCAAGTTCAGCCATTTTTCACCCTATAAATAGAACCTCTCCCACCCTCATTTTCTTCACACATTTCCCATTCTTTCTTCTCTTTACTCTCTCTCTTTACAAACCTCTCTCTAGCCCCCGAAACCCCCCGAAAAGCCTAGGGAACCTCCCTAGCACGAGGCGGAAGCCCCGGAGTGCTCGACGGCTCCGAGAAGAAGAGCTTTTCGGCTCGGGAACGCTGCTCCAAGCAAATCCCGGTTTTCTATAAAACCCGCTGTAAGTGAGCTACACCTACGCTATTTTTAATATAACTTTTATTTAATTATAGTAACGTTATTAGGAACTTATAATAAGTACTTTGGCTATTATTATGGGTTATATAAGTATTTTTTAACGCTTATATAATAGTAATAATAGCTAGACTATTAATTACTCTCGGCGAATAATATACTAAACTCTAGTGGTAATAATACTAGGTTTCGTCGAAGAAAATTATTTTTAAGAAGCGAAGCGCCGTCTGAGTTCGGAATCACCACCTTTTCAAGTGAGTGCATGGTCCCTTTCATCTTACACATAGATATGAAGTATTTAATATAAATTACGTGCTATATGTGCATATTGTCTGAATACTTGCTGTCTATGCTGGGTGAAATATTTTTATACAAGTTTTAAATGATTTAATTTGTATATGTATTTTATATCTACAAAACGTGTTGGGTAAAACATGGGTAGATGTAATAGTTGCTGTGTGACCAAATAAAATAATGAGAGGCCTCGATATAGATGTTATTGATGATCCAGTCATCTAGCGGAGTATAGATGACGACCACGGACTATTCTAGACAGTCCAGTGGAACGCTAGTAGGCTCGCAATCTGTAGGTGTTTATTTGAACTGTGTGCTCACCAGCAGTACTCCATCCCCCACATGGTTGCCTTATTTGACATGAATTGCTGAGGAACCCCCGAAGAATGTGTTGTCACCCCGATGAAAGTCCCTTAGACTAGGTCCCTTGTGTTAGATGTTTTAGGGACGTAAAGTGAGGATAACGGGAACGGGTAATCGGGGTTGTTTGGTTTGATAAAGTTAATAAACTTATTTATTGTGGGTTGAAAACCCTATGTACTCACCAGGTTTCCCAACCTGACCCACTCAGTTTATTTATATCACAGGTGTTGATATGAAGTCACATTACACTGAGAGATTAAGAAGATATAAATCACTAGTGATAATGAATGCAAGTTCTGTTTATGCTTATGTTTCTGTATTGACGATGACATCCCAAATGTTTTAAAATGAATAAAAATACTTTTCTTCGGAAATGCTTTGATAACGTATTTATCATGTTTTACTGGGAAGAAATTCCGCAACATTTTTATTAAAAGAGGTACTCTGATTTTTATAAAGCATAAACAAAATCGGTCTTTTCTGGCCGTGAAAAATGGGGATGTCACAATAGAAATTTAATTTTTTAAGTAATAAGTACTTTTATTAAGATCATGCTCATGAAAGTAACTACGTACTCACCTTATTAAAGGTGGTAGATTTGTGGGTAAGTTAGCTCTTCGTCTAACACCTTTGTTTTCCCTTTTAAACGACCTAAGTACAAATATTACTAAGTTTTAGTTTTCATTTATATTTATATTATTCAGGAAATATTAACTATTTTTTTGACCCTTCATTAATCCCGAAAAATATCAAGTTCTATCAAATAAAGAATGACCAAATAAGATGATATTGGAGGTAGGATCCGTTTGCAATATTAATATATATTGTTTGGAAAATCCACTTTAAACACTTCACTAAGATCTTGTCTAGACATCATGCCCGTAAACAGATCAAACATATTATAACTGGTATTACTGATAAATCTTATTTATAGGTTCATAACAATGACAATGAACACAATATAAGTTACACTTAACAAACATAGTAAGTGCAACTCACCTTACATGATCATTTAGCGGAAACTTGAAATTTCGCGAGCCTGACTTCGACGTTGGATCCTTTTTCTAGAAAGATTCTCCAGCACTCTACTACCAATACTAAGAATGAAGAAATCAAATCACGAGGGACTGAAATCTCAAGGGTTGAGAGAGAATTCGATCGAAATTAGCTAGGAATGAAAGAGGGGTCGATTTGCTATTTATAGCAAAAATTTCTCGAAAAGTGTAACACCATGATTTTTCACCCAATTTTTTCTTTTTATTTTAACCCATTTTAATTAGAAAACGTTAGCAGAAATCTTATATTGTTTATTAAGAAAACATTATCAATCTTATTTATTTCAAACAACCATTTGAAACAAAGTTTACAAATCATCCCAATAAGTTCTCAAAAAGTAAGTGTAATGAAAACTCAACCAAATGTCCCAAAGTGGTATCATACTAAGCATAGTAACTACCAAAAAAGTGCATCCCAACTCACCAAAGTCTCACTCCTTCTTAACTTTCTGTACCATTCAAAGCAACATGGCAAACACACAACAAATCAAGTGTCATTATCAGTAAAGTGAGTCAATCCACGTACGATGATATAGAGACATGCATATTTCATACAATTTATACACACATACACATAACCACATTACGTGTTCTATACCCCGTTCGCTACTAACATGACCTGGCGATCCAATACACTAAGTGACAGGCGACTCTCACCCATAACATTGTCTCTGGTTCTCCGCGTTTACTATTCTGACTACACCCAAGGCCTGTATCGTTCGAGAGTGGTCCAAACGGTACTTCCGCGAACATACCTCCCACCCAAACATGATGCTTGTACATGGCATCCAAGATCACCAACATCACTCCAACCCCCACACACTTGGACCATGTGTCCGAATGGTCACCTAGAAAACCATTGGACCTGAATGTGGCTGCAACTTTCTGTCTCACCAAAATGTTCATTCAAGTTATACACCCAGACTTAGGCTAATATATATATATATATATATATATATATATATATATATATATATATATATACACACACAATTCATATGCAAAATATGTATGTAATCTAAAGAAAACCAAATTGCCAATTCACATATGATTAGTAATCCCAAAATTATGTAAGGGATTCACACACGTCCATGTAAAACCAAATTGCAAATCAACATGTAAATCTTCTAAGAATCACAAAATTATATAAAGAATTAACATGTGAATCTTAGAATAAAAACCAAGTTTATCTAAATAATTTGTATGTAAGTCTGAAATCACATATGGATTATCTATAAACAATTTGCATTTTTCTATATTGAATTCATATGTAGATCTCTATATGGAAATCAAAAACTACATTCGAGGGGATCATATACGCATTATGTTTGTCCTTTTTAAATCTGTTGAGATGTTCTTAATAATCAACTAATCTACAAGTCATATTCGATGAGATACTTAGAACAAGAATTTTACACTCAACCACTCGAAATAAGGCAATACAACATTCTCAAAGGTGTATTCTCTAATATTACACTCAAATACAATATCAATAATGAATCTAACCTAATATTTTCCTCCATTCTTTTACAAATCCCAATCTCAAACAATTTTCTACATGTATCTACAAAACTCTGTTCTTGAACAATCTTTAAGGAAAAAAAAAAAAAAAACTTCAACACAAAGGCTTTTGCCTCTCTGTTTCAAACCTTACAATCTTCTAAAACACATTTTCTCTCGACTTTCCTGTTTCATGAAATCAAAATAAATTATAATCTTACATTCTTCTCTAGCATATGAACATTCTTGCATAGATTGTAATCATATCTAACCTTTAATGGACAGGATCCATTGGGAATGCAGGATCTGAAGAAAACTTGTTGGGTGTTTTCAGCTTTAACACTTCTAGAATGATTGAAGTAAGAATAATGGCAGCAAGAACAAACCCATAACCAATCTTCCATGAAGATCCTGCATCAGCAAGCTGTATACCTAGAAATACATTTAAAGCTCCAAAGAAGAGTGCAATTCTTCCAACATAATGATGATACCAATTCCATAACCTTCTATGCTTACTGTCCTTATCAGGTCTTATAAAGAATGCCATAACCTAAAAATTTCAAGAAACACACAAATCAATTGCATATCACTCTTGATGTCAAACATTTCTGCTTTCAATTCAAAAAAGTTTGAAGCTTTTCACGTTTCCAACAACACTTCAAAACTTATCTTTTTCATTTTTTGGGTAATGGGTTAACATATCCATCAACCTTTTTCTTGATTTTTTAAGGACTCGATTCTGAATTTCGAATTGAAATCAAGTATGTTTGACCTCAAAAGTCAAAATTTCTTTATATTTTGTACCTGTAGAACACTGAGCACGATGGCAGTTATTCCAATGCCTTTGTGAGTTGGCGCATGGAAACTAAACCTATTGTACATACTCAATCCCACAAATCCTGTAGCGACTGCAAATATGAACCCAACAAATTGAAAGGCTATATGCAGATAATACCATAATGGATCTTTATGCTTGAAGTATCTTGCGACAATAGCTCCATATGGCAGGATTATACCCCATCCGAGTAATCCCAATACCCCATGAGTCGTTTTTGAACGATGGAGATTGTTAGAAGGCGTTCTTGAATTTGAATTCGATTTTGACCCAGAAGAACCTGAGGACAAAAGGGTAAAATCGCAAAAGGGCAGAAAAAGGGTAAGCTTAATGAATAATGATTGACTTGTTAAAAGTCAAAACGAACCTTGAGAGAAATCCAAATGGATAGTTGTCTTGTCTTCATGAACAGATAGGAGGTGGTGCTCTGGGTATTTGCTTGAGAAAGCCAATAAAATCGGTTGAGTTCTGAGTTGACTCGGGTACTGGAGTTGATATGCTAAGTGAATCTTTGCGCCGTTGACGGTGACAAATGGAGGAATTCCGGTCAAGGGTAGCTCGCCCTTGTCGTGTTTTACTTCCGACGGCTTGAAACCTTCGGCGTAGTATTGTTTAATTACCGGAGTACCCTTTCGGGTGATCCATCCAACCATGGCACTTGAGTTTAGCATCATGCCATCTTTTGAGAACCCCATTGCAACGTATCCACTTGTGTAGGTTGCTGATAATACGATTGTGACTACATTGTCTTTGCTCTGTGAGAACTGTTTTTGGAATTAGAGAAGTAATCATGTTAAATGGGAAATTGGGAATCAATTACAAAAGCCCTAAATTTCTTAATTGTTTGAAGCTATAATCAGTCAATCAGAAGTAACTTTTAAACTTTGAATCTCGGATCTATTCCTCATACATATTTTCACATGATCTGATTACAATATTGGATGAATTCGAATATTTGAAAAAGGAGAATGGAAATCGCAATTGAAGGGAATAGGAACTTACTCGAACAATGTATGAATTCCAGACAGGTTTACACACCATATGCGTCATATTAGCATATGGAAGAGGAAGAAATGCGTTGATGTCTTGGCCGCATTCATCGGCTACCACCACAAGAACCACCGCAAATGACACAAAAACAGCTAAAACCCAGAATCTGGAAACCGAAATCATTGCAAATTGGAGGGAATCAAGAGATGAGGAGAAGCGAGAAGAGAAGTGAACTGGAAGAGATGAGTGGGCGAGAAGGTTATGATGATTTTGTCAAGAGATTTCTTCGTTTTGAAGGTTGCCTGGTTGGTTGGTTGGTGGTAGTGATAGAAGAGGTGGCTAATCAGTAATCATGATCATCACATCATACTATTTTCCCGCCATTTATACAAACTACTTTTTGAAAATACAAATTTATATGTTAACATCTTTGTAGTATCTTTTTATTTGAGAAAGTTACAATTATTATTTTGTCTTCGGTCATAAAAATGTTTTTGATAATATTGAGTTGGATGGAAAAATATACATATTTTAAAAGGTTTTACTCTATATCAAATTTTTACCATTAAAACCCTAAACTTTGAGGCTTATTTTAAAAAATATCATTTAGCATGTTAACACTTAACACTCTTCTTACGTGACACATACTTTTAGATTTTTTGGCTTTCGAGTCGATGTTTTTTCCCACAGTTAAAAAACCAAAGTGGCGGCAAGACATTGTCATGAGGCTAAATGTCATTTTCTATAAATAAGTAAATGAAAAATACGTTTAGTGGTAAAGACTTGTAATTATATTTGAGAGGGCGGGGAATTTAGTCTTGACAACCCAATAAATGGGGCTTACTAAGATTCAAACTTTCTACCTTGTTCATATATATGACAAAGTATTTATCATTGAGTTGCATATTTTTTGGTGTATAAAATGATACATTTTTTTAATGTTTATTGTATAAATTGTTAGAAGCTTTTAAACACTATTATTATTATTATTATTATTATTATTATTATTATTATATGTTTTTTATAAATGTACAAATACACTTCTAAGATATAAATACATTTTAATGATATAAATATGTTTAAAAAGTATAAAAAACTTTTTAAATGTATATATATGTTTCTAAATGTTTCTAAAAGTATAAATACACTTTTAAAAATATTAATATATGTTAAAGGTATACTTACATTTTAAAGAAATAATTAATTATGATTTAATGATATAAATACGTTTATATACCTTTACAAACGTAATTATATGTTATAAAACATTTTTTACCTTTGTAAATGTATAATATATTTATAAAGGTAACAAACGTATTTATATCTTTAATAATATATTTAAACATTCTTAAAATATACTTATATCTTTTAAAAGATTTATACATTTAAAACATATTTATATATTTAAAAGTGTATTTATACATTTAGAAAAGCGTAAAAATATTTTATAATGTATAAATATATTTGTAAATGTATACAAACATATTTTATACCTTTAAATGTATTTATATATATATACTTTATAAATTTATTTATACCATTAAAAACATATTTATACTTTAAAAATATACTTATAATTTAAAAACGTAATTATATGACTAATTCATATTTACACATTTACATGAACATGTTTTGTATAATAATAATAATAATAATAATAATAATAATAATAATAATGATAATGATAATAATAATATTAATACTACTACTAATAATAATGTTTAAAGTTTTTAGCATTTTACACAATATACATGAAAACGCTAACATTTTATAAACAAAAAAGGATGTAACTCAATGGTAAATCTTTTGGCCTTCTATGCGGGAGGTGGAGAGTTTGAATCCGGACACTCCCGTTTATAGCATCATTACTTTGATTTTTAAATTGAAGTCAAGTTTTTGAAGTGAAGATGTTGGCATGGCCATGCCAACCAAAAAATTGAGTAAGCACCACGTAAGAAGAGTGTAACCTGCTGATAGATTGATATTAGGGAAAATGCCACTTTTAAAAAAAGTTTTCCAAGTTTAGAGGTTAATGGTAAAAAAAATATATGTTATGGTAAAATCATTAAAAATATGTAAATATGATGGTTTTGTGTGACTTTCCCTTGTAAGATTGCTTTCTTATGGTATTATTGTAACACACGACAATTTAATATAAAGTACACCATTAATTTTTCACTTTATACAACAAAACACTAGTATAATTTCATATTAAACCACAATATACAAGTAGTTATCAGATTTATATAATAACAAAATACATCCAGAAAATCAAGCCGGGTAATTACAATGTTTTACAATAAAAGAAAAAACTATACATTTATTAGTAAATCCTCTAACACTTAGTCATGGGCGGCTCAACCATTTTGGGGCTCAAAGCGAGACAAATATTTAGGGCCCTTTGGCCTTTTCTATACTCGGAAGATGAATGCAATGTCATTTTAGTTTCATGAATGCAGCGGTCGTTGATTTATTTTTCGGCTTTTATTTTGTGGTTACCGGATTGGATTTTTAATGGACTAAACTTTTGGACTTTGGAGAATATGGGACCTTTTAGAATTGGGGGCCCTAAGCCCTTGCTTAAAAAAGCACTAACATAGAGCCGGCCATGCACTTAGTTGTACTCTTACCCATATCAATGTTACTTGGTCGTGAAAAGCAATAAAACATATAGAATGTAAGCTTCACAAGCTTAGTGAGTAATCATATCATAATAATACAACAATATAGTTAATAACAGTAAACATCAATATTACACATTAAGTAATTATATTACACTCCGCTTTTTAATTCCAACATTAGGTTCTTATCTTTACCAATTATAGGATCTCATCTCTCAGCTTAAATAAATTTATCAGTAATATTCTGCTATAACTATTCAGTTACGAAATCACAGATCTCAAATATATAGGGAGAATAGTTATATTCAGGTATAATTATTCATTTATAGCAACAATAGTTATATTCAACTACAACTATTTCGAATTATTCAATTACTATTTTTCTACTAAAATAAGCCATATCAGTTATATGTGGATATAATTGTTAGCCACATACAATCATTATCCTTTCAATATCCATAGCACATATAATTCGATTCTAATCTCATTGCACATTAACATAACACTAATTCTTTATCAATGATGTAAGAGATTAGTTACCTTGAACTGACTTAATAACTTGAGGCTCAAGTGTTTCTAATCTCGTCTTTGTCCTCGCTTTCGTAACTGTAAATTTAATAAACCATCTTGAGTACCTCAATCCAAGACACAATTCATTAAGCATAACTTAACACCTATATTTCCGTAAGTATGAAACTAGCCTTCATAGTTAAGGTTTAGTCATACTTTCAAATTATTCAATTATTACTTTTCTGCTAAAGCAAGTCATACCCGTTATATTCGGCTATAACTGTTTTCCATCTACATTCATTGCTCACTTAATGTCCATAACACATATAATTCAATTATAATATCATTGCATATTAACATAACACTTAACCTTCGTGAAGGATATAAGAGATTACTCATCTTGAAAGAGCTTAATTACTTAAGGCTCAAGTGCTTGTAATCTCTTCTTTGTCCCCGCTTCCATGCCTGTAAATTTAATACATCATCTTGAGAACCCTAATACAAGACACAACTCATTAAGCATAGCTTAACTTCTACATTTCCATAACTATGAAACTACCCTTCATAGTTAAGGTTTAGTCATCTTCTATAATTATCTCATTTTCATGTGTTAATTCATTAAGACATATACTTTATCTTACCATACACATCAATCCATTATTTATAAGATCACACCTTTGAGTACAACCATCTAGACATGACTTAATCATTTAATCAAAATTGATAATACATAATGAATAAGACATTCATATGTCTTAACTCATTAAGATAGAAGTTCAATTTAATTTATACCAAACTTCATTGAAATTAGGGTTTATGTTCTTCTTCATCAACCCCAATAATCAATTATGAATTTAACTCCTAACTCTTGAAAAAATGTTCATTAAGCACACTATAGCCTCATTATCATGTTTCCATTTCCATATTAAGCATACAAAATCAAAGGTACTATTTCTAATCAATTCCACCATGCATGAGAACTCATGTAAGTTTCTAAGAAGGAGAATATACATACGATTCTAAGTATGGATGTTAAAATTCTTGATTCTCTTAGTAATCCTAGCTCCAAACTTCAACTTTGTGTGCTAACCCCTTCAAAATCGTCCTATGATCTCTCTAAAAAGTGTGTGGGTGTGATATTAAGCAAATAACCATTTCCCCTATTTATGGATTTATTTATGAAGTTCGGTCCTTGTACACGAGTATGTTTCATGTTACATGATCGTGTATGTAACACCAGGTTTCTGGTATGTATTTATTTAAGAATTGGATGTATTTTCTCTTGAACTCGACGAGTTGATGGCCCAACTCGTCGAGTAGAGACGGGATCCGCGGGAAGTTTAAGGGGCCGTTTGATAGAGCTGATTGGGTTAGAAGCTGACTCAGTTAGAATTTATGACTGAGATAACATCTGACTGAAACTTAATGTTTGATTTTCTATCTGACTGACTGTGAAAAATGACTATATTACCCTCAAACAACATTTTTTATAATAATTCCTTTATAATTTACCACTTAATTTATAACATTAAATTTTTTAATAAAAACATTCAAATTGATCAAAATAATGTAATTTACAAAATGATATAATTTACAACCATTCTTCAAAAAATATGTGTATAAACATATAACACAGGGACAAAATGATGTAATTGACTTCTATTCTCCACCCTTTAACCTTAGCCCTCCATTACAGTCATAGTTTCTTTACTCTTATCTCCACCATACACAACTTATATCATCACAAAACCACCATCTACACTTATAGCCACAGTATTGACCAAAGTCTTATCATCCTTCCAAGGCTCTCCACATAAAACAACCTTTGCATGATCTGACTGTGTTCATGGATAATTCAACTCCAAGCTCTTGCTCCCTGTTGTGATTTTCAGAAAATCTCTCAATGAAAGTTAAAAATACATCCAACAGCAATTAAGTCTGCATATCAAATCAGGCATACTATATATCCATGTAACTTTTTCCTCTTTAGACTTTAGATGAAGTTGCATAATATGAAATAAAAAGGAAAGTTGAAAGATCTCATCTCAATATGCTGTTTTTCCAATATTCCCAAGTGTTTGTCCACTACATGTGAAAAAATTTACAATCTTTAATCTA